CAGGGTTTGTAAAACCAAAGGCTGAGGAACCCCTAAGGAGGGATGAAAGCAAAGAATGAAAAGGCAACATTATGATTGATTGCAGCGACTGACCGTTGTTTTGATTCAACCTCTAATTTACTCATTAAAATAGTTTCAGCAGTGCAGGGAAACTTAAAACCTGTTTCCAAAACAGTCCATCCATTTTTGTTAGCGGATTAGAAACTGGAAACACCAGCTGCTCTCGACGCTGTGTCAGAACCAGCACTGGGGCTGCAACAGCAGATGTCCATGGACCGATTCCAGCTGCTGCTTTTACATGAGACCGTGTGTGGGAGGGGTTGTAAAAAGATATTGAAACCTATGGCCCTGAACAAGCTGGCTTCGATATGATTGAAGCTAAGGAGCCAAAGTGGGAGAGGAAGATTGAGAAATAATAGCACGAAATGTGATCGCCTTACAGATATAGCTAAACTCTGCAGTTTTGTTTTAAGTGCAAAGAAACACACTGTTTATACACATACAGGACAGATGAATAAGGGCCAAACTCAGGACCTTTAGCAAAAGAGCACGGTCTGGTGTTTTCAATCAGCAAGTATAAGCTAATGGCTTCAACGGCATACCTTTTACAGAACATTAATTATCAGGAGCAATTATTCCGGCAGTCAAAAGGCCTCAGCCAAGGCTCATTAAATGCTTTTATTCTCAGAGGTTAACAGTATACCCCTCCATGAATACAGCCAACATACACTACAGGGCTCCGGGAACAATAAGGAGTACCCGCTTGCCCGGGGCAAGTAAAATGCCACTTCGGGTTAGTAAATCCAGAAACTCATTTGACCGATAAAAAATAATTAAAAACATAGTTTTTTTGATGATGGAAGTAGCTAAGGAATCTTGCTTCCTTCTCATCTCTGTTGAGAGCTTCACATGCACAGTACGCTAAATTATGAATCCTGCTTTGGCAAAGGCATGACCTGCCCTACTCTGTCAATGATTTGCAAGTACTCATTAAGTGAGACTGGTTGGTTTGAGCATATCGGGGTAAGCCAATCAGAAGCAGAGTAAGGCAGGTTATGTCTTTGCTATAGTAGGATTTGGAATATCGCACGCAGTACCGATCGAGCAGTGGTTAAGACAAAGTTTATAAACTGAAGCAGATTAATTCTCTTAAATAAAGATTAAACATGACAATTAACTTTGGTCTTTGTTGTGATTTGATAACCGCTTAAAAAATAACACGTGAAAGCCTGCACAAGGCAGGGATGGCACAAGAAGCAGAGAGTGCTCACGTGTTTCTCGTGTTGGATTTCACACAATAATCTTTGGGCTTGCTCATTAGCTGCACATATGGGCGATTTTCTTTGTGATCAGTGATATCTGGAACCTTGTCCCCCCCTCCCGCCTTTCTGCTGGTAAAAACCAACAGCTGTAAAATTGCAGCAGGGTGCCAGGGGAACAAGGAACAATAACTTCACCAGAAAAACAGCAGTAATTGGAATAGGAAGATTTGAATGCTAACACAGCATCTGCTTTTCATTTAAATTGTTTCACTGCGTAAATATTGTTGCAGGATGATCTACTTCTCCAAGTCAACTCCTTTTTGTCTGGATGATCATTTGTTAGCGGCGACAGTGGCTTTGTTTTCTTATCATTAATATGTTTTCTTTGGACAAGAGTTAGCTTTAAATGAAGATAATTCAGAGAGAGAAAATATATCGTAAAATGCCCTCCCCTCCCCTTGTTACGGTGATTGTCTGACGAGAGCTAGCAGACGAGGTAACAGAGCGGACACTGGCGACAGGCATGTGTTTGTTCAAATATTTTAATGGTTTCAGCTGTAGCCTGACCTGACTCTCTCACATGTAGAAATCACTGAAGCAAATTGGCAGTTTGACAGAACACAGGCTCCAGGTTTAATTACTCTGCAAGCTCACGTGGCTGCTGAGGCATAACTCTGGGCCCAAGTGGACACACACCCTAGCCTGACATAAGACCGCTATCTGCCAAGGCTTATATAAAAAGACCCACACCCACCAGCAGATGACGTGAATCAAACTTCGCCATCGCAACTTGGGACTGAAAGAATGCCGGTCAATAGCCGAGAGCCATGAGAAAGAGAGTGGCAATATTCTGCCCATGTTTACGCTGGCAGGGCAGAAGCTGCTGTCTGAGAAACAAAGTCTTGTGCATTTCTGTGCAGACTATGAGCGCTGATTTCAAGTCTCTGTGAAGCATGTGTTCTCTTTTTCAAGGTTTTAATCAGGACATTGTTTTTCTTATACATTTTCCCAGAAACCAGCAATCTGTGAGTTATTGTGTCTCTTCTTCCTTTGTATTCAATCATTTCAGTTCATGCCATCTCGAATAAACTTGTCTCAGTGAAGGCCACTTAAGTGTGTGTTGGACAAAGTATATCTACTGAGCATTGGTGGCTTGAGCACAGACAAACACACACAGAGGAACTCAGCTTGGCCTGCGGCACTGACGTAGCAACAGAAACAGTCATCAGATGACAACTTGAAATGAGCAAGATGCTACGTTTTTCCCCTTCTCCACAGCAGATTTAAAGCTTGGGTTTCCCCCTGAAATCTTGAGAGAGCGACAGCTTCAAACATACTCCAGGAGGCCATGGATGACATCATCCAACATAGCAGTCCATGCCCATTTCAGCGCTACATATTTGCACGCCTGCACAACTACTGAATGACAGCCATGGGAAGTGGGAGCATAAACTAAAGCTGTTTGCCGGAGATTCTGGATGATTGGCCTGCTCATACAAGACAAGGATGTTTGCTCTGATTAACAAAGTCAAACACACTCACTTATCAAGTGCATCAAAGGCTCTCATCCTGTCTCTCTTGCACCCCATCCTCCTTCCACTCATACTCCTTTGCCTGAATCTGATTTTCGAAACTTCAAATGTCTTTGAAAATGTACTTTCCCCCCCTGAGTCCATGAAGATGTCGTACGATGAGTGGTAAGTCCAAGGTTTTTGTGAAATGAGTTCGCTGGTTTCCAAATGTGAGACAAAGAAAGAAAAGTTAACAGTCAAGCTCTTCTCTGTTTTGCAGAAATGCTAGAAAGCTTAAGACTGACCTCAGATCAGCTGCCACACCCATTTCCCCCCTTCTGGGGCTAATGAAATCACCGCCACCAAATCTGAAGTGGCATAGATTAAACCTGCCGATACAAGACAATTCCACACTGAGAACGAGACAAAACAACACGGGAGCTGTGCAGTGGAGCGCCTCATGTGTCAGGATAGAGTGACTTGACAAAGAGTCTTCTTTGTGCACATCAGGACAGCCATAATGGAGCAAGAAGCATTAAAATGGCTTTGTGTCTTTGAATGAATAATGACGCATATACCACTGCAGCCACATAGTGCCATACTGTGAGAAGAGTCAACGAGGAGACAGATTGCCTCTTGTGACTTGGCCACGCAAGTATGCAGACGATCGACGCAACGACAGAACTGGCAGGATGTAGATCATAGTAATAATAGTAGCAATACAACATTGCATATATTTAAGTGAGAGATTTTTCCTTTCTTTTCCGAGCCCTATGTGACCATGCCTCTGAAAACTCGCACCGCATTGCCAGTTGGACAGAAGTGTCAACAATGTAGCAACTCTGTGTGATCGGTGGACTGCTGTTGGATGTGGTAAAGAATCGAGGATGGGTCAGCAGACTTGAGGCAACACCTCTATGATATTCTTAAAGTGGAAATCAGAAGCTGTCTGCTAAAACCTAAAGCAGAGGCAAGACGTTTGGGCCGATGTAAGATCCTATTTCAAGTTAATCCCAATCGCTAAAAACAAAAACAAAATCCTAATCATACAGATAATAAGATAGCAGAATAGCAGGTTTTTTTTTCCAATTAACAACAAAATCCATGCTTGATTATTAGTTGTGTCTAAAGACATTGTCCCTGTATCGTAGCTTTAATTTCTCGGCAGGGTGCGCCCAGAATAATTAGATTTCCATGTAAATCTAATTACCATCTGTTAAGCTGCTGATGCAGGCGGTATGTGGTGTTCCCTTTTATTGTGCAAACTACAAGCATGTTCCGCCATGTCATGATCTATTCCCCGTTAAAGTAAACACTTAACTGTTTTCATCAGTCTGGAACACTCCTCTACCCAAGGCCACCCAAAACACACCCCGCCCCCGTGTCCATAGATAGGTCCTCATGGCTCTGCAGAACACTGGGCTGAACGAGAACTAGTCCTGCATTACAACCAGCAGGGCAGCAACACCATCCAAGCCATACATCACCCTGCAATTAGCGTCTGGCCTCAGTCTGATTTGGAGTGGGCTGCCCAGTGCGTCCACACATGATTGCACGCAAAGACACACACATACACACAATTACAGTTTGTAGATCTGCAGGGAACACAAGTAAGGAAACTATTTCATTGCTGTCTGTGAATCCAGGTCTCATGTGGTCACTTTGTTATTCGTAGCACACTGCAGTTCACACACTCACATTAAATATCTTTTTCACTCACTGGAGTCGCAGTCAGGCATGTGCAACAGATGAGATCAAACTGATACTGTTTTTAAACATTAAAAATAATTGTTTTTAATGCTGTGTTGTGTGCTTGGTTTTAATCCCTTTACACACATTTAAACAGCTCCACCCAGATGCACTGCAGGATGTGAAGCATAATTATTCTCAACTGCAACTTTCCACTCCTGAGCAGACCCTTTGTGTCTGCAGCCACCCCGTCGCTAACCATGCCTCTTTGCATCTGCGTGCAACCTCATGGCAGAACACATCAAAGCAAACCCCCCCCAACTAGCGTGTAAAAAAACACTGTTGATGCACACAAACTGCATGACGTGAAACAAGAATTTGGCCCACTATAATGTTGGAGACTCACAAAAGGAACAGCAAAAAGTTGATATCCACAAATAGCATAAGACTCTGTGTGGATAGATAACTTTCGAAGAAGAGAGGTAATATTAGAGCTGCAAAAGAACACGCTATAATCAACAATTATAAGAGTACTCACTGCTGAGCATTAGAGTGCAGAGCACCAGAACTCCAGCCATCCTTCTCCAGGGGCCATTCATTCTCCACATGGACGCAGCCATCCTCTCTGGTCAGACTCAGTGCGGCCGGTGGGACTGTGTGAGAGTAAAAAGTGCGGTGATTGATAATGGGTGAGTGTGTGAGGGCCGGGGGAGTCGGGAGTTTCCTGTGAGGTCTAAGTGAGCGGGACAGTCAGGCAGGATAAAACCTGGCTTGTGTTCTGTTGCTCTATATATGGCCCCACTCCTTTAGCCTCTCTCTCCCTCTCTCTCTGTCACTCTCTCTTTCTGCTCTTTCCACACCCCTTTTTCTAACTGCCTTCTGCTAACCCATTTCCCCCAATGCAGCCGTCCCTACGTCCTCCCTTGTCCCTGTGTGCGTGTGTGTGTATGTGTGCACATGTACAGCAAGCACCAGAACCAGATGTTAGTGGGTGACATCCTGTTGATCTTTATCTTTACTGCAGTTTTGTTTCCTGGGGAAAAATGTTGGGTAAATGCATGCTAGTGGTGTAACGGTTTTTCTTGCAATGTGGGGGCTGTGGTTGGAGTTCAGGAAAGCTTCAGGTGATGCTTTAGTAGACATGGTACAAACACAGGCTGTTTCCACTGGTTGGTCTATGAAAAGAAAGTACACTGGCTCAACACTTGGGGATTAAGCACCCCTATGTGAACACACATTTGAAATACCTACAACAGGCTTTAGCTTGACTTAGACAGGATTTGTAGAAAAAGGCTTTAAAGAAGCTGAGCGTGTCCTTATTCTCGATATTTTGAAGATGCACCTGGTAAACAGGAAGCACTCCTCCTGCCGCCTACATGCTGTGTACATTACTGAGAGGCCTGTAAAAGCACATGGCGTCACACAGAACACTTGGCCCCTGGTTTTTGTGCGTCCCTGGACAAATGACTAACAGCTTACAGTGAGTCATCCACTGAACCGCACAAGCACACACATACATGCACACTTTCATGTACAGTGCACATGCTTTTTAAGAATGTTGTAACACACGCACACTGACATCATTACATCATTAATTACACCACGTCAGCAGAAAAGTGACGAACTGTTGAACCAATGTGAGGTATGCTGTGGGGGTGTGATGTCGGGTGTTCACCGTTCATGTTCACACAGAGATGGGCTGTTCCAGTGAAGTCAGGCAGGCCACATCTGGAAGCACTGCACTGGGTTTTTGAGGACTGCCTGGAGACGCGCTTGTCAAACAATACAACCATATGGGGGCTGAATCAAGCCAAGATCAGGCTGCTGTCTGGCAAATAGGCACTCCTGCTGGTCACCCTGTATGTTTCACACCAGATTCTTGTTAAAGTTTGTTAAGGGGGCCTTGAAATCACATTCAAAATTCATTAAACGGAAGCAAATCTAAAATTTGAATTTCTGTAATAACTGCTTTGTACATACAGTGTGTTTGCACTTGTATTTTTACAATATTAGCAACAGCGTTGCATGTACCCATGAATTTCGCAATTGTTTTTGTCTTTAATGGTTTTGTATTCATCACTAATGGCATGTGACAGAATACATTCATCAACATCTTAAAAGGGAAGCGTGAGGATTGGATTAAGTGCAGCAGACTTTGAGAGGATCACCGCCCACGACCGACCAACCAGCCAGTCCAGCCGGACCAAACGCCACCAAACTGCCCCAGGGAGGAGAGGGAGGAGAGCCGAGATGGAAGCTAAGCTAAACTAGCTAGGGCCTAAGGCTACTCCACTACCCAGCCTACTGCTGGCTGTCTGATGCCGGGTTGCAGAAAAATAAGATGGATGAATGCAGGTCGGTGACTGTTGAGCCCACATCCATTGTTTGCTCCATTGTTCATCCCGGATCACGTTGCACCTGGCGGGCGGACAGCAGGACATAGAGCAGGACTCATGTGGGACGAGAGGTTGACTCTGTGTATTAACTCCACAAACAGTTAGCGTTAGATAATACCTTATTTGCATGATTAAACATAAAATCTATATAACTTGAAAAACAGAAAACAATTGTATTAATGTAAGGAAAAGTTCCAGGGAGATATCTATTAGTCATTTTTATATCTTAATTACCTTAGCGTCTTCCAAAATGTTTGGAGTTTCATAAAAATTAGTTTCTCAAATCTCCACCTTAGTAGCACTTACATAAACCAAACTCTCCAGTTTTATTCTTATCTATTTCTGAAGGTTTTTACAGAACAATTTTCAATTTTCATTTATTCACATCATGATTTATATGCTATTTTATTCCTAAAAACATGGCAAATGTTGTTTTTTATGTTTGTTGGCAGTATTTTCAGATTTATGGAGTGATAAAAAGAGATACCCAAAATTCCCTCTGTAAATACCGGCATTATCCAATATTTCTGTTTGGGAAATGTCAGCACATTTTCACATGTATTTGATAAGGAAATGCCTAATTTGCATAATGGAACTTAAAATTTCTGGAAACTTGTTATACGAGAAAGTAAGTATACTGGAGAAGTTTCATTATGATATACATTAGTTACATTCTAAAAATGCTCCCAATCTATTGTATATCACCTTTAAAAGACAATTTCATAAAGAGCTGTGTGTAAAAAATACTTTACACTATTATATAGAAGTATCTCTATCCTGATCTTGAAACAAACATGAACAAAAATGACTGCCAGTGTGCAGTAATTAAAGTTATTACAATATTAGAAAAGCGTTATGAAGGGGTGTATCACAGTGGATCACTACACTTAATAAGCCAAAATAGAAATAAATGAACATAATGGAGCTCAATACGTTAGGAATCTTGACAGAGTAATACAAATATGTGGATATATGTGCATGTTTTCACATCCATCTTACGATTTCTACAGTGGTATGATATTTGTTTGTGGAGGATTATCTTTGCACAGTTCGGTTAACACTTATTTGAATGTGAGGCGTGTGTCCGTCTACAGCTCAAGAATCCTGATTAGCTAAGCCTGGCAGGGGACTGTTTCTGGCAGATTTAACTAATATCTCTTTCCCCCTTCCTTCCCTCCATTTAGTCACTCTGCCTATCTTAACATTTGACTTATTTTGGTTTATTTGCACAAAGAGTCTCTGTAGAGAGAGAGTGTGTGTGTGTGTGGGGGGGGGGGACATTATCAGGACATCACGAGGATCAGCACATGGTAGCAGGGAATCTGACCCTCAGGGACCTGTTTAGCTTTGTTTTTGTTTGGAGGATTTGGTGTTTTGTGAGTGAGCTGGAATCCAGTTGGATGCAAACCATCATAAGAGCATGCCTGACATGTGACAGTGGTGACAGTACAGGCATGAATACGTGGGTAATCTTGATTATATTAAAAGCTCACATTTTGTTAAAATGCATGAATTTGAGAACACTGCAAGAGATCCGGAGGCTAAGTTACTGTTCCAAATATTAGTCATGGTTGTGGCCTTATTTACCCTTATCTGTCTCTCTGCCCAGGGCGTTTTGTTGTGTTTCTTTATCCGGTATGTTTCTTCCACTGTGGCATGTCTAAACATCCTTCATACTATAATATTTGTTTTTGGCGTCGACAGCTGTAAAATCTAAAAAATAATTGAATGTCCCCCTTTCCATTTGTTAATGTAGTGTCATTCTGCTTTTGTTTAAATGTTGTTAAACCTAAATGAACAATGAGCAATTGTGAAGCTGATGTAATGACATTATGCCATTAAAAGAGCTCAATTTCAGGTCATTTGAGACACTTTAAGACTGTGCCACAATAGCTAAATCAATTTCTTTTAAAAACAAACATTCCTGGAAGTTGAGAGGCCTTCCTGCTTTCCTTTTCATTAGTGTGGATTAGGAGGGTGAATGCAGAAAGACTTCCCAGGCACGGATATCACTAATGCTTTGACCAATGGAGTGGAGGAAACAACGAAACATCCTCCCTCTCTATGAAATGACACTGACGGTGTCCGATGGGCTCCTCTCCTCCCTCAACATCCTGCTGACCTATCCATCTGTCGCCACTCCCGCATCTAAATTCCTCCTCTGTTTCCTGCCAATCTCCTTGTGCGTGATGTTTCCTAGTAGCCAAGAATTCATCCTTCCCTGTGCAGGTCCAGAAGTGAGCAGACAGACCCAGCGATGACCCCAGACCAGTGAAAGAGAAACATGGAAATGTATTTATATTCACCCATAACCCTGCAGCTTGTGTTATCTTGATGCCCTGCCTTCCATGTCTGTTACATAAGACCGTGTCAAACGGGACAGACCTGGCCAAGTGTTTCCGCATTATAATGGAGGGGCAGCACCAGAGTCCAGTTTCTCACAAAGGGAGCTGGGTGGAAAGAGTAACACGGAAAGAGTAAATGGAGGAAACCACATTGTGTGACACAGCTAAACCTTTGCAGATCACTCTGGAGTTGATGGATGTGTAGATCATAGCCGTCTGCCTCAGGTCTGGGGTAGCCCAAATGTGCGAACAATGAAGATATACTGTGTTACGAGGAAATCGAATCGTGTTGGAGCATTTATGGAAATTCTTCTCTCGTCTTTGGGTCCCTAGCAATACATCCGCCAAGTGTAAAGTAGATCGGTGCGCAAGATATACAAAGGACACACCTATAGAAGTGCGGACAGACAGACAAACAGAGATTCCTTGCTTTATAGTTAGATTTGATCACATTTCATCCCACTAAACCTAGCTTTCGGGACATGATGTCGTCATAACATTATCTTGACACCACTCACAAGTCTTATTGAGGAAAAGAGACTGCCAGAAGAGACAGAAGCAAACAGTTAATATAACAGAGGCCTCCTCAACCTCTGTTGTTATTACATCATGTTCTGGGAAACCCAAAGAATGTTTCTGTGTTTAAACACAATTCACACACACAACACTGTTGAATATGTCCTGCAGGACCTACAAACCGAATATTCGATACACACTCTCGATAATCTCGTGTGGAGCTGGAGAAACGTTCTTACTTGTTTACTTACGATATGCACGACCTTATTGCTTTATTGATCTGCGTTGTTGCACTTTCCAAAACACAGAGCCCACTGCCAAAACCCCCCCCCCCCCCCCACCTTTAACTCTCCCACTGCCTTGATCCCATACAGATGTTCTTCTTTAGCACTGCCCTCTGGAGGGAGCCCACAACCTATTGTTCATAAAAATCAATTCCACGGTCCCGGCCGACCCCGCCCAACACACACACAACACGCACGTTCAGTTTCACAAGCAGACAATCATGCATACTCAGTCTTAGACACGCATGATGAGAAACACAGCACAGCATGGA